TCCCCCTTCCGTCCCCCCTCTGCAAGGCGGACGGGGGCGGTGGGGGGGGGGGGCGCCAGCACAGGGGGGCCACGCCCCCGGAGCCGGCTTTTTCTAGGGCCGCTCCCAGAGCCTCTCCGCTGGGTGCCCCGCTCGCCTCCCAGCGCGCACAGGTCCAGCCCCTCGGTCCGGTCCGCTCCGCTCCGCCTCCGCCAAGCTGCTCTCCGAACTTCAGCTGAAGCCAGCCCGAGAGGGCGCCCCTCAGCGCCGCCACCCCGACTCCTGGCTGCCCGCTCCGGGCTTTGGGTCCCTGCTGCTGGTGCCCGACCCCTCGCGCCCGCGACCTTGCCGCCTCCCATGTCCCGGCCCTACTCCCCTCTCGAGCCCAAGATCTCGCTCTCTGTGCCCCCCCTTTCCTTCCTCCCCGTCTCTGGCTCGCTTGCTTGCCCTTTTGCTAGCTTTCAGACGCTGCAAACAACTTCGCAGGAAAATCCCAGAAACCTTTGCAAAAAGCTGACAATGAAATTTAAGAAGTTCTTCGATTTCGGCGCCATTTTCGAGTGGATCGAGAGGTGATAAGGGATTTTTTTAAAAAAAAGACTTGTTGGTTTGCGTCCCCCTCCCCCCCCCCCCAAGTAACGTGGATTACGGTAGAATGGGGGGGAAATCTGGTGACAATCATGAAAAAGTTTTGTTGCTTTGGGGTTGTAAAGCACGTTTGGGGGCCGGGGTGCAGATGAAACAGACCCTGAAAGTATTTAGCACGTATAAGTGCAGCCGGGAAAATTCTTGGGAAATTGGCTGGGAAAAAAGCTAGCATTGAGGGGTGGAAGGAGAAAATTGAGTAAGGGGCAGTGACAGATTTTCAGCTTCGCCAGGGTGGGGTGAGACTGGTTATGACAGACTGTTAAGTGGACTTTCTGTGGCTCTTCTTTGCAAGCAGTGAAATATCCCTTGGAAATGAATGTGCGATTAATTTTGCATTGTCTTTACCCAATTAAAACTTTCAAAGTTGTTTAGTTTTCCCTATAGGAAACTTGACATTGGGAAAGTTTCGCACGAATGCGCCTAGGGATGTGGGGAACAAAGCATCTGCAAAATTAAGACAAAACGTTGTAAAGTATGAACGGAGGAAGAGCTGTATTCTTTGGCGCTCACATGATTTGGCCAAACACAGTTCAGTTCAGAAGGAGGGTGGGGCTTTGGGCAACTCAAAAGTATTGATTCTTTGTCTATTGTATCAGCGGTTGACCCTCTCCTAAATTGACAAGATGCCTCTTTGTAATCTCTTTTCGTAAGTAAATTTAAGTAAAAGGGGAAATCTGTAGAATAGGATTGTGAGGTGGCTTTTTACGAATGTAAGTCGTTGTACTGTCACTGGGAGAGAAGAAAGGGGTTACGTGAAGAGTACAAATGAATTCGATTCCAGAGAGCAGTTTGCAGAGCAATCTGGAAGAGAACTTCGCCTTTGACACCATTGCTATTTCTAATGAACTTTGTTTTTCTAAGTAGTCATCCAAGGAAATGTTAAATTAGGGATGACTTTAATATCTGATGTAATGGTTCACATATTTCTGTGGAACTTAAATATTTAAATGGGAGGAGGTTGTGGAGTTTTAAAGTATAACTGTACATTTGCTAAACATGTTTTCTTTTTTCTTTTTAAGGGCAACAAAGGACGTTTTTCTCCGTTAATCCCAAAAGTCTATGTAAAAGTTGTAAATAGCATAGCCAAACAAGATGGAATTTAGAGACACTTAATTGTATGTCTCAATTTAGGGAGTGGGGTTATTATTATTAATAACTTTGTTTACCATGGCATAAATAGTATATTTGGCAACACTGGATCTCAGTATGGTGTGATGAATTTTGTACTGAGCCTCATTAAATACTCTGCACATTATTAACGAAGAAATAGGACACAACATCATTATATTGGTTTTGAAAAACCGACATAACTTTTAAATGAGCCAAAACACTAAGCAGACTTGTACTGAAATGTTTTTTAACTTTCAAAACCATTAGAGTTTTGTGCTGGTTTTATTGTTTTAACTTTCAGGTTTGTGATTGAGGGTTACAGGGTAGTTTCTTCTGTGCTTAATTGACTATTTTGTTTAAACATTGGGGGAGGATGCATGTAACTTATTGCCAATGTGTGTCCATTTTAAAAGGAAATGGTGGTATCTAATGAGTTAATCATTAAGGAATATGCACAGTGCGGCCATTTCAGGACAGGAAAGAGTTTCTGTGGAGCTGCTTGAGAAAGGAAGGAGGAATTTGACATGAAGTATTTAAGTGGTTTGATTGATGTTTTAATAAGTGACATTAAAAAATATAAATTACTTATAGATAAATTTGAATGACTAGTTTCACATGTAAAGAGCCAGGTATTTCATTTGAGGACAGTTATCTCTCATTCTTTTACACTTTTAAAAACAATTCAAAGCAGGGTGTTTGCTGTAAGAATGAAGCAATGGCGGATGAAAGAGGACTTCTGATGCTTGGATGGAGGGATCTATATTTCCCAGCTATCATATATGTTACAATCAGCTGAAGCTGCCAGAGAAGTTTTGGTGATCTCCTTTAAGTCAATAAATGAAAAGTTTTTGTGGTTTTTTTTTTAAAATGGGGACATTCAATGAGACTTAGGATTTCTAATGGGCAGCAGGAAGAAGTTTCACCAAGACTTTGAAGCTGAAAAGAGTAATCCAGATGTTGTCAAACTGCCTCAATTTATTTTATTATTATTGCTTTCAGAGGTAAGATTATTTTACCACCCTAATTCCTATTCCCCACCCCTCTGCTTTTTCACCTATATACTTTTCCAAGATTCGTCCTCTGGGAAAAGAAATTGAGAGTCACACCCTTCACTCCACCGGCCAGTCCTGGAAATCTAATGGTGAAGTTCTAAAAAGTACATCTATTTGGAAGGAAGTGTCTTTGTTACAAGTTTTGCTGTATTCCTCGACAGTGGGCAGGGCGGGTCTGGGCTTTTTTCCTATTACCCTGTGTTTCTCCGCCTGCAGGCACCCAGAGCGATCCCCCTTCGTGGACTCCGAAGGGATACAGCAGCAATTCATGTTTTGAAGTGCTTTACATAGTTCAAAACGTGAGGCGCTGCTATACCCCCTCGAGGGGAAGTTGGAAGGTGGGGTTCTGCTGGATGTGTGTTCCTGCGAGGCGCCAGCTCTCAAGGCCAGCTCTGCAGCAGATGGGGGGGGGGGGGGGCCTTCGGTCTCTCTCTTCGCTCCTCGCCCTTCCCCTCCCATGAGGCACCACCAGATTGGGGGTGGACGCCAATACTCTGTGGGGATTTGGGGCGGGGTGGGGGGGGTGTTCCCAGAAGGGACGTGGTGCCAGCACTCAGCCGTGCCCTAGCAGCGGGAACAGTACTGCAGTGGGTTATCCGTATTCTGGAGTATTGTTTCTGCTGCCCGGGTAAGGCTGGGAATCCCACAGGAGCCCACCCACCAGGTAAGTCCTAGTGCAGCTCGGGTTAGGGAGTTTGTCCTCCATCAAACGTTTGCCTGCCTTTCAATATGTAAATGAGTGTAAATAAAAGCTACTTTATTTTAGCACACCTTACCCTGCTCAAGTAAAATTTAATCGGTCGAAAAAAAAAATCCCCTTCCTAATCACTTAGAATGCCATCCACACGACAAAACGAAAAGAGATTACCTCCGACCCCAACAGCTAAATGGGGGTGGGGGGTTAGAAAAAGATTAAGGGGGGACAGGAGGGGTGACCCACTGCAAGCAGTCCCCAGGCCGTTCTGAAGCTCCTGGTAAAAGGCCTCACGTCGTGCCGTCCTGCGCATGGAAAAGATTTTGGGGTCCAGGAAAGATGAAAGTTTCGGGCCCCATGCTCTTCCACCTCCCTAGCTGTGCTGCGGGGAGTTGCCCTTCAGCTCGACGCGAGGGTCCTCGCAGGCCTGGTGACTCCCAGGCGGCGTGCCCGATCTGAGGTCTACAGGGGAGAGCGGGGACATGTGGGGTGGCTCCTCAATGAGGCTTCGCATTTCTAGCTGCACCCTGCCCTGTCCCCCAACACCTGTCCTGGAATTTCACTCTGAAGGCGTGTTCCAAGACCACTTTGGTTGCCCCGGGGGGGGGGGGGGGGCTCACGGAAAGGATTCTCCACTGGCAAGGCACTGACTTGACGGTTCTGGAGAAAATGGCAGTAACTCAGCTGTCCATTCAGGGGCCCTTCGGTACCTACAAAACTCTGGGCATTGTTGCTAATTAGTGCTGCACGTCTGTCGACCTCCCACCACCGCTCCTCACTGGGGCTCTCAGTAGGCTAGGAGCTTGAAAACCGGCCTAGGAAAGAAAGTTCTCATTCTCTGGCTGAAGGCTCCCTTTGCCTGTGAAAATCACTTAGATATTTATTTTTGACCTGGCGAATCGAGAGGTGAGGGACTGTTGGCAAAGACAAAGGGAGGTGTGGAACATTTCCACGCTTTATGTTCTCTTAAAAGAAACAAAACACGATACCCCCGCGGGTCTGGATGGGTTGCCTAGAACCGATCCTCCCAGAGGCCGGGAGCGGGGGTGGGGCAGAAGGGCTCTGGTCTGGGGAGGCGGGGGTGGCAGGGGCCCCCCCAGGAGCTGGGTGGGAGTGGGGATCAGCCGCCTGAAACGCCTGCTCTCCCAGACTCCCTTGCGCCGGGGGCAGTCGCAGGGCGGTTTGGGGCCCTTCCCGCCGCCGCGGACCCTCGGGCTCCCAGGGGCGCCGCGACCCAGCGACCTTGGCCGAGCCCGGCTTCCCGCAGCCTCCGCCCCCCTCCCCGTGCCCCGCCCCCTCCTTCCCCGCCACAGCCGCGAAGCCTAGGCTGCGAAGCCCTAGCTCCTGCCCGCGCGGGCTGCCCCAAGTTCCCGCAGGCCCACAAGCCCCAGGCCTTGCAGGCAAACAGGTTCCCGCCCCCGCCGGTCTCTCCACTTGGGGGTGGGAGGCACCTCGAGGCTACCCTCCTGCCCCTGCCTCTCACCAGCTTCCCTTCTCCCTTTCTCCCCTCTCTGTACGGTCCCCCTTGAGCCAGCAGAAGGCTTGGTGGCTCCCAGCCCTCCGGGAAGACCAGGCCCGCGCCATCCGGCTCCCTCCAGTGGGCGCCTGCAGGACACAGGTGAGAGTCCAGGCGGGTTGGGAACCGCGAGGGGCAGAGGGCGAGGAGTAAGTGATCCTGACTAGGGGGCGTGGCCTCCCAGAAGCGCAGGGGCCCTTTACCCAGGGCCCCCTAAAGGCATGGAGTTTGAGGTCGTCCAAACAGCCCTTTGCACGGTGCCCTTTCCTGACTTAAAATAGTCAGCTTGCACCATTATTCACACGATCGAAGTTGCAGTGTGCCTTGATTTTCCTCCAAGGACAAAAATGTGAATAAAGCAATATTTCAGCCAAACATTTCTGTGTCAATTAAAAAGATGGCAATTCGTTCCAGACTATAAATTCTCCTTAACAACCCTCTAAGGTATTCTTTAAAATTGTTTTTCAACATTGCTAAATGTGCATCATAATGTGCGAGAGACTTGTATAAAGGGAGCCAATTTACATAGTCAGCTGATTAATTGCTACAGTGTTACCACCTACAAGGAGGCACCTTTCCATTGTTTTCTCATTTTTCCCCAACACATGTTATTTGTTAGTGAGGAAGCTAAGTGTATAGGGCATTGTGTTAAGTTTATTAGACAGGTGTGGCCCTTAAACTAGGAAAAGCTTAGTCTAACTCTAAATTTAAAACGGCATTTCTGTAAATTATGGGACAAGACATACAGGTTACTTTTATAAACTAAAATTGAACATATTTTTTTTAATCAATCACAGGAATATTTTTTAAGGCATCCAGCATCTCCAGGTAGCAATACTGACTTTTTTCCCCAACAAAGGAACAGTATATCAACACTCTTGAACCGGATCTGGACACAGAAGACTCCTGTTTCAAGAAAATATAATCATCTCTAAAAGTCTGTAATTTATATGCATTTTAACTCACTAGGCATTGAAAACCACCCAAGAGTCCCACAGCATGGGGTAAAATATAATCAATCACTCAGTGTAATATTATACATCCTTTAAAAATGTTATTGGAAAATGTTTTATGATCTGTAAGTCGAAATAACCCTCTCCCACCACTTCTTTCTCCCTGCGGCTCCCCCATACCCGTGCTTCTTTGTTCCAATTGGCATGTAAACTTGTTTTTCCCGCCAAATGAGTCAGTCATGATGGGAACGGCAATTGATTTGAACAGATGTGTGTCAATGTTACTTGGAAAACTCGATGCCAATAACCAGGGCACAAAAAAGGCAGTGGTTGCAACTCTGTAAAAATTTATGTGCACATACAGACAAGGACTGAAGTGGAAACCAAACAAAACAGGAAAACAGTTGGACATACTTCAGTGCTGGGAGATTGAATGATTGTATGCTGTTTTTGATTTCCGTTCATATGGGCAACTGTCCAATAAAAAGACCTAATAAGGACTCTGCAGTGCAAATTATTTTGCGGATTGTTTTAAAACACCATACTTATCAAGTCATCAAGGCAGACTGGGCAGCAGGGGGCTGGATTTGTCCTGTCCCTACCCTCCCATCCCCATCCTGGACTACAGAGCTCAGGGCAACACTTGGAGAGTACCTGATCCTACACAGGTGGACATTAACTTCTAGGCAGCTTTCCCAAGAGACTGTGCAACATGAAAATAAAAATAAGTTCCATTGATAGGAAATAAAGACTTGAGTCAGGGGATACATCCAAGTTGGCATACATTTTTAGAGCTCTATTTTCCCACTGGCCTGCAGTGTAGCAGCCTCAACCCTAGAACATTACATATGCATTTGTATTTAGAATGATTACATTGCTCTTAACTGAAAAACAGAGTATATATACACCAGTTATAGCAAATGTGTATCTCCCAGCCATCCTACATCTCACTCATCTCCACCCATTACTTACTGCTCAGTAAATGAACAAAAATCTGCTAGTCTTTCCTAATATTTCACCTATCTGCGACCTTTGCCTTCTCCCGCTCCACAATAGATCTCTTTGGCTCCTTCAAAAAGGCATAGACCCCTGAGGGGATTGTATATTGAGCCATTAGGAGGAGCTCTGAGAAGACTTCCATTACTCTTAGTTCAGGCACTGGAGCACTCCCGTTACACTAGTGAGCTCTATAATCTGAGCAGTGGTGCCAGTTTGGGAGGTTGCCCTGGGAGCTGAGAACCAAGGTACTGAGAGGCCTGATTGTTGTTGTTTTTTTAATTCGCACCCAAGGACATGCTTAGAGGGAGAGAAACATCATCTGTTGCCTTCAGTTTGCAACCATATGTGAACCGACCTGGAATCAACAGGCAACCTTTCCTTGCACAGGACAATGCTCAACCAACTGAGCCACAGGGCTTCATTGTTTTGAAGTGTGATTCTCCCAAGGCAGCTTCCTCACCTGGTTCCCATCCCTATTCCCACCTCCTCCCCTTATCCCAAGACCAGACCTTTTAAAGTCCTGGCCACAAAAACCACAATAATCAAAATCATAATAATTCCAACATCTTGCTTTTGCATCTTGCTTTTACATATTATTCCAAATGCTTTCATATTTTCTACTGGCAACAACCTCAAACGATAAATAGAATAAAGCAGTAAAAAAAAAACACCCAACTACAGACAAGAACACTATGGCTTCTGGAGGGGGAGGATTTGTTTGAGGCTAGTATGAGGACTTTTCCTTCAGACCTCATGCTGGAGGGACTGCACAGTAGTGATTAGAGCAGGAAATGGAGGTGAATTAGTTTAGTTACAAAAATTTGAGGTGAAACTGATTAGTTTTATGACCTTTTGCCTACACACTGAACACAGTTCATGGGCAAGGCCCAAGATTGGCCCCAGGATGAATAAATAGCGACTGTAAATTACCCAGCTGGGTACAAGTAGACATGCACAAGCCCTCCTCCAAAAAAGTATGATTTAAGTTCATTTTAAATCTCTGGCCCATATTTGGTACTTTCTATAGTTTCAACCAAATGAATGTTTAACCATATGGGTTAACTTATTCAATGTAACCTTTTTCAGCCATTACAAATAATATTTATAAAGACTTTATAAAAAACCTAGAAAATGCTTATATATAAAATTTTAAAAATCAGGGACATAAAATCACATGGACACCATGTTTAAAAAGTGGGTCTGTATAGGAACAGAAACTGGAAAGACCATGCAACAAATATACTTGTTGCTTAAGGTGTTGGGATTCAAGCTGGACTTTTTCTTGACTTTTCCATGTGTTTTTGTTATGCCATGTTTTTTGTAGCATTGTTAAATATAATCCTCTAAAAAGTCTTTAGGGGTCATAGGCGACATGGAAATTTGGGGGCAAGGATGCACAGACCTCAGACATCTCGGGGATCATCATGTCACGAGATACCACTTTGCACTTGTGACAGATTGATAACTGAAAGGTCTGGGAGCCACCTATCTTCATATGTTACTGACTGGTAAGTAATTACAAGACCAATCAAATGACTAGATCAGAAGAAAAGTAGGCCCTGAGGAAGGAAGAAAATGGTTGCCTTGTGGGGAGGAGGGGGACATGAGTTGTTTCATGAGTTGTATTTTAATAGTTTAATGGGAGGTGAGGGGTCAGCCTTTGTGTTCTTCACTATTGTTTTAAGTTTCCTTTTAATGAATTGAAACTTATATAAGGCATAAGATTTTATATTCATGCTAGAATGTTAAAACAAAGAATTTGTGCTCAAGCAAACAACTGAAAAAACATTAGCTATAAGTATTGTAGACACAGGGTCATCTTTAATATGTTGAGTTCATTGAAGTGGTCAAGAAAAAAACATAAAAATGACATGAACAAAAAATCACCGAAAAAGAATACATAAACATGTTCATTTCAGTATTTTTAAGGATGGAGATTAGGGACATCCTGAATGACCAACAACAAAGGATTGGGTAATTAAAATATGGTACCTCTAATAAGTGTCATGAAAATGTGCTCCTGATGAAATATTTGGTGATAAAAGAAATGCACAAAATTTTTGCACTGTTCCCATCAAGCAATCTAAGTATATAGGGAACATTCTGTATGTGGCTTTGTTTCAATGTAGAGATGAAAGCCTGGGAGGAAATATGCCAAAACTTCAAAAGTGGTTATCTCTGACTTGTGGAATATTAAGTGATCAAAGAAAGATGCTAAACTATTTTTGCGATGTGTTCCTAATATGTAATATAAATGTATTGGGAACATTTTGCATTCATAGTTTTGTATCAATAATATGGAATGACGGCTAGGAGGAAATATACCAAAAGTCTATCAAAGAAAGATGCTAAACTATTTTTGTGATGTGTTCCTAATATGCAGTATAAATATATTGGGAGCATTTTGCATGCATGGTTTTGTATCAATATACAGATAAAAGGCTGGAGGGAATAGACCAAAAATCTTATAATGGTTATATGTGGATTGTGATATGATAAAGTGATAAAAGTAAGGTACAAAATTATTTTTGCAATATGTTCCTGAATATGTAATATAAGTGTATTGGGAACATTTTGCATCCATAGTTTTGTATCAATATATTTTAAAAAGGCTAGGAAGAAATATAGCAAAATTTAATAGAAGTTATTTCTGTGTTCTGGTATTATAGATGATATCTGGTTTTCTTTTTATACTTTTGTGTATTTTCCAAGTAATACTGGTATAAACAACAAAATGTATTACTTTTATAGTGATAATAAAGCTTACTTTATTTTTTAAAAGAGTTGTTTTTAATAAAAAGGCATGGGCCCCTGACCTGGGGATGGGGAGGTATGGAAAGACTTCCTGTTTGGGCAGCAGTGGGTTAGAATACATTTTCAAACCTGTCTGGGCAAACCCTACACAGCTTTGGTTGGCTCTGCAGTGCAAATGTGTGTTATCGTTTGCTCTTGGCAAAGAAAAAGAAAGTATAATTTAAAAATATAACCATGACAGAGTAATAATAGTAATATTTCTAAACAGACTGCTTGCTATCTGCTGTCCAATCAAAGTAACACTTTAAGAAGTGCAGAGAGTTGAAACAGGCTCCTTTTCCTCTAGGAGCAATTCAGGACGGCAGGATTTGGATGCTTGCCCAGGGTCTCAAGACACGGTAGCCAGTTTGGGACATGCCTGAGTCAGGAGAACAACTTACCAAAAGTCTAGTTCCACTTAGCTAACTTTCTACAGTTGGAGATAAAGCCCACTGCATTTTTCCACCAATGCTACTGAGCTCCATGACTATCCTGGTGATGGAGAACACATCTGACACCAGAATTTAGGCTTTCCATGTTCTGTTAAGAAAGGCATACCATTTGGAAGCATATCAGGCCCACAGCCTGACAAGACACCTACCAAGGCTTTGAACATTTTTTGGTTGCACTAAATTGAATGGATACCACATTAAAAGAAGACCTAGGAACCAATGAACTTGTATGAATATATGCATAACCTGTGGTTATGGACAATGGGGTGGTGAGGGCCTGGTGCAGGGGATGGGATGGGGCTGGAAGAGGTTAAGGGGGGGGGACCTATATAATACTTTCAACAATAAAAAATTTTTTAAAAGACCTAGGTTCCTTCCCATCCTTTTAGAAGCACTCTGGGTAAACTTTTTCCCCCAGAGAACTATTTGCACTATGTAGCAAGTCCATACCACTTGACAGTACTTCAAAATATGTCCATCCTATTTCTGAAAGCAGAAGCTGATGTTTTGAGGCAAAAATATACTTTAAAACCATTTTTTCAATTTCCTGATGCCATGCCCTTCCTTGTTCTGCTTAAGAATGAATAATCATCCCTAGCCAGTTTGGCTCAATGGATAGAGCAGTGGCCCGCATCCTGAAGGCTCACAGGTTCAATTCTGGTCAAGGGTACATACCTTAGGTTGCAGGCTCAATCCCTGCCCCAGTTGGGGCACATGCGAGAGGCAACCAATCAATGTGTCTCTCTCACATTGATGTTTCTCTCTCTGTGTCTCTTACCCTCCCTTCCACTCTTTCTAAAAACCAATGAAAAAATATCCTTGGGTGAGGATTAACAACAACAACAAAAGAATAATCATAAAACCAAACTTGCTTTTGTGAGTTGTGTGCTCTTTAAGTCATTCATAAGCATTTTTCTCTGCCACATTTTATCAATCAGAACATATTTTCTGGGTGCCTAGCTTTGTGCTTCTCACTTATGGGCACAAAGTAAGAAGAGGAGAGGACAGGAGAGAATAGGGGGTGGGGGGTTATGGTGATACTGAGCCAGAACAGCCTTGAACACAGTAATCCTTTCCTTTGCTACTGGGTACAGAGCAGGGATCAGCTGAGGCTTTGACCTTCTGAGCCAGATAGGACTACAAAGAGAATATCCTAGGCTCAGTTGAATTATCTAGTTATCTAGTGTCCTCGCTTCCCCTAGGCTTCACTCTCCTCCCTGCGAGACAAAGAGTAGGGAAAGAGAAAGAGTGTAGGAG